AAGTAGGGGTGCGCAATTTTAAGTTCGAAAAACAATTGATAAAAGATGATGACAGAAGTTGAGGCTAACAAGAGGATAAAATAGTATTACTAACAGTAACTTCATTAGAGTTAGAGATATTAAGATCTAAAAAAATATCATGTAAATTTGGTTAAGTATTGTGTTAATAAAAGTTAAAGAAAGAAAAGGCATCAGTAATATAAGTAGAGGTATTAGAAAAGTTACTATGTGTAGATAAACTAAGATTTTCGTTTGACCAGGTAATATATAGTAAATTAAAATTAGTACATAGAGGAAATAGAGGAAGGATTTGTAGACAAAATGAAATGCGTGGCCTGGTGCACGGTGGTTGGTTTCGGTCACTAATGTGTTCTGAGGTCAAGCATCGGCCGACGTCGTTAGCTCTTGGATGGGTGACCACTCGAGTTCATACTGACAAATTCATGGCACACACACATACACCCACGTGTTCCAACCCTACTAACCAAACCTTACACAAAATACCTACTGTTCCTATGCACAGCTAATGGTCTTAGTTACCGGGCTTAAATAAGATCAATGAAAAAAAAAAAAAAAAATGAAATGAAATGCTTCAAAAAATTGTGTGAGTTTTTATTACAGGTAGTGCTGTATTAGTAAATAGGTAAATCGCACTTAATAGTAGCAAAAAATAATCATATGTCAAAGTTGTTAATATAAGTTCAACATCGACTATAAGGGAGATTTGAATTTGTCTTATTGAAATGAGAACCCCACTGTTCCTTTAATGTGGACTATTATGAGAGTTTTTATCAAGTTCGAATATGTGATAACTATCAAGACCAAGTTTAAGACTAAGAATATCAGAGGATAGCCACGTTTCAGTAAGAATGATAATGTTGTATGAGCGAAATAAAGGGAAAGAGATTCTAAGGTTAATAAACTTAGTCTTAAGATTGTTTATGTTTAAATTTACGTTATGAAAGTTACGATTGACATTAAGTTTTACGGGAAAGGTTATTTGTTCAACAAAAATAGTTGAGTGATTATTATCAATAAATTCAAAGAAATAATTAAGGCTAAAAATAGAAAGTTTACATAAATGGCAGGGTTGAGATGTATTGATAGAGGTATATTGCAATTCATCAACGATAAATGGACCTTTTGACTAAATTAGTGACTTTTAAAGATCGTGGACTACCGTCACTAGTTTGGCTTTATCAAGTAGTTAAAGGTTAGGAAGCAAGGATATTTCTAATAAATAAGTAACATCTGATAAGAGTTTAAGGTCATCTGTCATCCTATCAACAGGTGAAGAGATAGTATAGATTTAAAAAGTCCAGAGTAAAAGCAATAAATTAACATTTTTCCCGTTCAGAATGTTTTTGTAATAACTATAATAACAAATTCGTGGTAGGAGTAGACATTATTTCTTCATAGACTCAAAGGTAAGGACTTAATTTTTTAGCGTTGTAAAATCATGTCGAAAAGAGACGTTTTCAGTTTTTAGTTACACAATCTGGGACAACAATGAATCAACGTTTGTCCTAAATTTATTAAATCTTGAGTTTAGAGATTAATTTCGTGATTTCTAGAGAGGTAAAGTCTTATTTAAAGGTTTTGAAGTCTTGTGATAATTGAAAGGCAAAAGCATTTGGTAAGTTTGTAGAATTAATAGATGAAGAAGAAAAATTTGAACGAGTTTTAATTTGGCTCAAAATTTTAGGTAAATATTAGCACTCGTTTTATGGTTATATCTTGTAGTATTATTTAATTAAATGACTATAACTTGAACATTTAATCACTTGATACAAAATATAAAAGTGGCTGAAGTAATAATAAGATTTTTGAGCATACAGTGTATACGAGCCTAATGATTCTAGATCAGTAATTAATGGACGGCAGAGATAAGTTAGCCGTTACCGATAAAAGTTTGATGCTACTCATTTTGTATGCTAGTGGTGTATTGTAGACGAAAATAACTAAACTAATCTTATGGGAAAATTTTTGACTCAACAACGATATTAGTCTACATTCGAACTTTTTATAAATCGTTCGAACAAATTAAAAATTCGGGAGCAATATTATCGATGTTTACTGTAATGGTACTGCAGTAACTATACGGTTTAATTTTAAAGTGACCATCACGATTAGAAGAATAGCTATCAGTTTTAGTAGTACTTAACCTAACCTACTTTATACAACATACTTTGTAAATTAATAATACATTTTTGGTTTTTTTTTTTCAATGATTTTCAGTATATTTGCAAACAAATTGTGAGATTTATGATTTATTTAAAAATTGAATGTTGATTAGTTTACGAAATAAGTGTTTGCCACACTTGAATTACGTTCATCATACACTTGTTGATAGGGATTTAAAAATTATTCTGTGTATTATTTGTTTTGTTTGTTTAATACTAGTCAAGTATTTGTTAAAAAAATGTTCGAAATTGATTATCACATTTTTCATTTTTCTCAAAAATTTCTAAGAATTTGGAAATAAACTTTAGTGAAATACAATTATTTGTTTTAATCGGTATGATTTATAGTTTAAGAATTCATACTATTGATAAATGACACGTTTTAAGATTATACTTTCATGAGGCGTAATTGGTGTTAATTATGTATTAGATGGTATACTATAATCAATTATGTATAAAAATAAACTGTATAAATAAGATAAAAAGAAATTTTAATTTCCAAATATATGAATATCAGGAGATGGAGTAAGTGTAAAGCAAATGTTTTATAATTTTGATAACTTAAATGTACGTAAATATATATCATGATATAATAATATATTATTCAGTTTGATGCAAAATAATGGGCCAAAAGGGAATGTGTTTGAAATAATGTTTTGAGTAGGCTAACAGAAATACAACCAAAGCAGTTTAAACGTATAATAATATTAAGCTCCTGCGAGATAATTATTTCGATAGTTATTGTGTAATGTGTAGCTATGGTATCCGTACAATACATTATACGTAGGATGATAATAATATATTATGCATCATTTAGTTTGTGGTATAGAAGTATAGTTTGGGCTCAAATGATAAACAGCGATAAGCGCCTAGAGTCGAATAAATAATCATTATTTTCATAAATTTTTATTTGGAATTTACACAAAACCACATAACATGTAAGTTAACGTTGAATTTCTTTAGTGCTATGTAGATACAATTTAAAAAACATAATTATTGAATTACAGCTTTAAAAATATTAAACGAGAATGCCTACAGTTGCCATAATTAATTTTTCTACGTTCCAGTTTATTAAGTTTGGTTAACTGATTAATATTGAAAACTTTATTTATTTCCTGTAATATTTTAGATAAATTAATTAATTATGAGCTAATGAGCAAAATTGGTAATAAAAAATAGTTTTTGATAAATAAAGAAGTAAAAACGTATTTATAATTTATGTTTACATATATTAATGTGTTGTGCGTTTCGATTGAAAACATTATAAATTCTATAACTATTGTACGCAATATTGTTTGTATACTATATAAAAACATTTTCGTTGTGGTAAAGGGGTATAAGGAGAGAGAACAAGACAAACTTAATTATTTAACAAGAATACAACTTGCACATTAATCAATAGCATGGCAGCAAAACAATGATGATAAGCTGAATGGAAAAAAAAATTAAATGGTCATAATGAATTATTATGATTAATTAAAAGGAAAATTAATCTTTGCGTAACATGAACCCAAATATAGTATAATTAATCAAATTAATCAATTTTAAAATATCGTCATTGTAAAAATAAGATTTCGATAATAATTATAAAAATACAAAAATGGTTGTGGTATAATAATAAAATATAATTAAATTTTTAAGGTTAAGACAGAAATGAGAACTTATAATTAATAAAATAAAACATCTTGTATAGACTTTGCAGGATGATTATAATAATAGGTAGTCAAATACTAAGGAATGTGAAGAAGGATATTGTTTCTGGAATAAATAGAGTTTAAATGACATCTTATGTTCTAATCAATCAGGCACATCTAAAAATCTGTTAAGAATAAAAAAAATTAAATTGTCCTTGGCGATAGATAAGAGAGTAATCTATTTTGTATAGGTACGCTAAAATCTTAAATGATCCTTGACTAAATAAGGATTCCAAATAACTGAATTAAACTTAAAAATAGACCGAACTAAGGCAAATTAAAGTATACGAAGACAATTAATGGAAGTTAAAATTTTAATGTTGCGTTAAATAAAATTTAAAACTTTGAATGTTTTATTAACGGTAATATTTATGTAATGATTAAGGTCAATGAGGGAGTAAGATTCAAGATTTTTGTCTAAAACTAAGCATTTCATTAAGATTATAATTGTTGAAGATAATTGAATATGAGGTTTTGTTAACCAAATGAGGTTATGACATAGAATTTGTCTAAACGAAGCTGGAGACCAAGACATTTTTCATAAGAAGTTAATATATGAACTTAGGATTGAAGTAAAATACAGCTGTTATTTACTTAAAGAATGTTTTATATCGTTAGAAAATTTAGTTTTAGTTATTAATTTATTAAATGAATTAACGATTAGTAAGAAAAATAAAGGAATAATATGAAATCCCCTGTAAAACACTATATGTGTAATTTGTTAGAGCTGAGATAGAGTTAAGACATATAAAAAACTCGACTAGGAGAGGGGAAAGCATCACAAATATAGTGTAGCTTAAACTTTTTAGTTAGAAGTCCATGATTTACTATTTAAAACCTTTTTTAAATCGGTTATTATCACGTTAATTTAATCTCTATACTCTAACACATCAGTTAGATAAAATGTGAAATCAACAATACTAGTAATAAATTGCAGATTTCCCGTCCCTTAGATTTTATTTCTCAACAACTTAAATTTATATAAAAATAACATTTTCAAAAAAGTTAGTATTTTTTAACATAATAAGTATCTTACGTTAAATGTACCACCTGGTATATTATCGATATCATTGGTATATTTATAACAATATGATAATTATATAACAATGGTTTTGGTACTTACCTGATCTCTCAGTAATGTTAGTGGATTATTGTCAACATCCAACACCTGTAAATTGATTGTAACTTGCCACGGCCTCTCTCCGGGCTGCACTTTAGTGACGTAATTGTATGGAAAGTAACCGACGCGACCGAAACATTTACCTTTCCACCAGGCCGGGTCTGATGTATCTATAACAGTTACCTTGTATCCTGCCCTAATATACGCATAACACGAGTTCGAATTAAAATAATAATTATTTTTTCAAATTATTAAGAAACAATTTATTTTGTAAATATTATACGCATGTTTCATCCACTTAAATACATATACATAAAATGTATGTATAAATAAGTTTATAAAAGAAAAATCCAAACTAAAAAAACAATTACGTATCTACTTATTTTGACTATCAGTTATATATTAATGAGCGATCTTTTAAAAAAGATACAGTTTATAAAAATACAACCTATCAAGCTACGTTGAAGCAATTTTTTTTTAATTACAATCAATTAAGTTACTTAGTGGTTCAATTTAATAATGAAAAATAATATGAAGAAATGGTTTTATTTTGATATATTCAATTTTTTTTAAAACTGTATGATCTGAAACACTGTATTATATCAACGTGGATGATGATTTGTTGAGTCGTTGATCATCGTTCTTTGATCGAAATTAGTTGCGTCATTATATACATATATATTATGTGTATTAATAATAACAAATGTCATATAGATACCTATTAATATCTATGTAAAATAATTTATAAAATTCGTTTTATTTAGTAAAATCTTCATCTAAGTACCTATTAAAGATAAAACGTGATGAAATATTGATTTTATGAATTAAGCACGAATGAGATGCATTTTGTTGTATGAACAATGTTATAGAAATGTTATAAGCACCCTTTTTCAGTAGCGAGAAATTTTAAATAATTTGAGTGAAATATTCTAATTAAACACGTGCTGCAAAATTTGCAGTTTGAAATTAGCTACCTATTATGTTTATGTACTCACTTCAAATCCAGTTCGTCTTCTCGACGAGCTTTGAAATTATACAGCACCACATAGAGATTATTCGGTAAAAGCCTGTGTGGTTTCTGAAAAAAGGACAAAAACAAATTTTAGGGTAGAGTGTGTATTGTTTTAATATACTGCTCACTCGCGATCTTACGTCTAATTTAAGGCACTACTTATTATATTTTATTATAATTTAATATAATATGCATGTGTATAATTATTATAATACTGTACTTGTGAATATCTCACCGGCGATGGGCACGGAGACGTACTTGCCGACGACAGTGATTTATCGTTATCGTCGGGTAACTCGACGGAGCTCATCCGTATGGTCCTGGTTGACAGTAAACGCCGGTTATGCACTGGGCTAGACGGAGCTGAAAAATGGGCGAAAAACCAATATAAGACGGGAGGTAACATCAAAAATTATAAAATATTTAATAAAACCACATTATCGTCATATGAAGAAGAATGCACGCGATACATATAAGGGGAAACGTTGGCGGTATACGAAAACAACGTCATTGTTGTGCAGGAACGACGGTGTAGGTAAACAAACAAGTAGGTATGTAATAAAATATAATATTGTATTCATCATTACAACACAGACGCATCATACTAGTTGCCTTCTGAGGTCGAGTATAGGTCGATATTATTTAAATTTTTTTTACGAATCGTCCTGAATACTTTATTATATATAGACAAAAATTTGCGCTCCTTATTTTTTACAACTAATACTTACTAATAATTGCGTTTTTCTTTTAGTTCTATCTTTATGTAAAAAATGTTTTTTTGCAATTTGATTCCATCGTATTGAATTATCATAGTATATAATATATGTATTTTAAAATAAATTAAAATTAAAAATGTATGTACCAATCAATTGAGCAATTGGTTAATTTTTTTTTTTGTTTTGAGTAAATTTAATATTATTATATTTAAAATTTTAACTCTGATTTTCAGCCAATATTCTACGAAAATATCGGAATTTTTATGAAATAAAAATATTGAAGGATGAATTCAAGCGATAGACGAAAATAAGTATTAATTCATTTTTATTTAAATTTATTCAATTGATAATAAGTTTTCATAATCGTGTTTTTATTTTATTCAAAAGTTAAGTACTTAACTCAAATTATATTGGAACACCTAAAATCGATAAGTAATCAATTATACTTAATGTATTTTAAATTTAGCACAATTGATCTTTTAAATTTGAAAACTACTAAATGCAACTGGTCAACGATCTTAAAAAATGTTAAGTGCAATAGGTATATGAAAAGGTAATTTTAAAAGCCATTGGTAAATGGGTGATAGTAAACTCTCCTAATTTTTTAATAACTTCGATTATACATTCTAATTGTATCATTATAATTTAATGCTTTCAACTAAATAAACAAAAACAATTTTTAAATTTAATTTTAAAAATAATTAGTTTCAGTATTGCTAATTCTCAGTATAATAATAACATTTAAAACAATTTGGAAGAATTTACATATTTTTTCAAGTAAATTTAATGATCTAGAAAAGTTTACTAGTTTAAAAAAATAGATAAGTTTATAACCGTTCTGGTCAACTCTTTTTAAATTGTGTCATCACCAAAAAAGGTTTATCCACCTTCCATAAGTAGTGAACAGTAGTAAGTGTATATCGATTCCGCTGAACTTTGATGTATATACTGATTCCGTTGGATTATGTATTACTAAACATTTAAAAACAATAATTGATATTTGTAAATTCATAATAAATTAATATTGTTGAATACTCAAACTGTAATATATATAATAATTTTAGCAAAGGTCACGTATCGTGTTGGATTTATCATAATCTGTGCATTTATAATATATACTTGGTGTTCAAAAACACTTAATTACTGTATTTATATTTTAATACCCACATAAAGCGATAACAGATAACACTAATGTACATTTATGTAAAACATTCAATAACCATATTAATTATATAATATTATTATTTATCAGTCTAATAACTGTTTTTAAAATTTTTGTAAACTCTGTAGGTATATAATATGCTTTATCAAAAAAATATTAATTAGACATATTATACATTGGTATTATTGAAAATTAAAGTACAAGTCTTATCAATCATATTTTTAAATTTTCCAACATATTCTCGTGTAAACACGCAATTCACCAAAACACATCATGATGTATTTTTATTTTCACATATATTGATTTTAAAAATATAAACTGATTCGTACATAATAATGAGAGAAAATACACAAATCAAAGTTAATAAAAACAAAAATTGTAAATTGAAAAAAAAATGTATAACAAACGATTTTGACACTTATTTAAATAAAAAAAATAATAGATTTAATTATATTAAACCGATATCAAATAAATATTTAAATTACAATTTAATTACATTTTTTAATAACTTTTACATTGTATGTTTTAGTATTTTTTTTTATAATTATATAATTTATATTTGGATTTTTTTGATGAGGACAGTATTATTCGACGATAATTTAATTAATAAAAAATAATAGTTATTTTAGTTGTATTATTTTGTTCTTATATGTATAATATAGTATCATAAGCCGATAAAATCAAAGTTTACAACTTTGTACAGCAGAATCAACATATTATACAAAATAATATGTCCTCAGTGGAATCGATAACTATTGAATTTGATATTAAAACGGTGGAATCGATAAAACCCAACAGTATCATATTACTGAAATCACCAACAAAACGATTCGTAATTTTTGAAAAATCTAAAATAGGAACTTATATGGATAATATCGATGTCTGATATTTGTAATATAAAAATGGGTGGGCAGTTATATTAATATTTATGACAGTTGATATACTCGTATTATTATGGCATGTGATATCATATGTATAAAAAAGAAAGTAGTAATACATTCCTTATATATTCTACGAACTGATCAAATTGCAGGACGACCACCCGTTTTATTTATGACTTCGTATGTGTTTTCTCTGTTTTACGAACGTAAAAATAACAATTTGTATTCAACAAAACCAATTTTAAATGTGTTAAATTTTAATATTAAAGTGAATTGACCTGTTATAAAATTAACTTTTTACAGAAATAACTATATTTTATAAATTATATCGTTCATTTTTAAGGGGCAACAATAAAAAATTATTTACATCAATTTATTTATGCACTTTTTTCATATAGGTTGAGAGGTAACTAGTATGATAAATATTACATATATGGTCCAATAATAATGCAGGAATCGAGGTGTGTTGTACGAGTAGATGACACTATAGCAGACGCGTGGAAACGACTAAAATAATATATTAATATAATGTTAAATATGAAAAAATAACTATTAGATTCGTTAGTAATAGTAGTAGTAGTAATAATAATAATAATAATAAAAAAAAATCAATAAAAATATTATAAATGATAGAAAAAAAAATCAATTAAAGATGTATACATTACATATAATATAATCAATGTTAGTGGGGTCGCATACATTTACAGTTCTCTCAGTCATCTGACGGCTGGAATAAAGTGTAAGAAAACCAAAAAAATAAAAAACATTGCAATGTGGTCTGAAAATATAAGTTCTCACACATGTTTCGCACGAGATGTGGAAAAGAGGGTAATGAAACTACCTATATTCGATATATCAACTTATATTTTCAGATAACTCTGCAACAGTGGCATCATTATACCACTGCAATATCACACACACACATACATATATATATATATAATATTATAATGTTACGTTTATTTATATAGCATATATATAATGATACTCAGCTAAACTACGTCCATTCAACATCATTTTACGTAAAAACTATCTCTCTTTCTCTGCAGTATTAAAAAAAAAAAATTAAATCCAAATACAATATCAAAGCGAAGCATATCATATTTAATACAACAATATATTGAATTTGCTTATCTATTTTTTTTTTCGAGCCTTATCAATTTAGCGATTTATTACACCCTATAGAGCCGCGATTTTTTGCCAAAAACATTATTACACATACAATGTCTATACCAAAATAATAATAAAAACAAAATAAAATACGATCTCCATACGCCACATATATATAATATAATATTATAGCTCGAAAGAGCAAAAAGCCATATTCCGTATAAGCATGCAGCGAGTAAAACCGCTATAGTATAATTGTCGCGTTGTTTCCTCCTATAGTTTTTTTTTAAATATCGCATTTTTATCTTCTCATACTTTCGTTTTTCATTATTTGAGTTTACTACGCATATTATGCTCTATCCATACACACCTGTACGGTAGAAACGACATGTGTGATCAACATTATTATTATCATCATTAATAATTGATTTAATGTTATCGACGTATACCTATAATATTATAGTACAGTAGAAAAACTAAACGCTGGCAAGACTAAAATATATATTATGTATATTTTTAAAGAATAATGCATGGTAATGGTAAAAAGAATACCAGACATATATCGATTAATATGCTATATTGTAGGTTAAGTTAATATGTTTAACTTAGTTAAGTTGAATTAAAATCGAAATATTTGAAATTTTTTACAACTTTAATTATCTAGCCATTACAGTAAATTATAAAGTTAAAATGTCTTATTTTTAAAAATGAAAAATGTTTTCCACTTCTTAAAAATAAATGAATATGATTCATTCCTCACTTTTATTCGCAGATTTTTTGTTTGGTTTAATATTAACAACGATATAACCACTAAACGTTTGGTATGACAAAAAACCACAGTATAATTTGTATGGAATAAATTTAAAAAAATAAAATCGGTAATGCGGGGAATTTAATCACGAATGCATATAGTAATTGGATTTTTTTTTTATCCATTAACCTAACTTCCACAATATTTTTAGCAGTCATTCGATGTTATCACAACCACGGGTTTTCTACTGTAATATATTATATATATAGCTATACGCATGGCAAGTATCGAAAAACGATTTTCATGAGTGTGCGTGCGTGAAAATAATTGCACAATAATTAGGTACACCTACCGTTAGAATGCAAAACAAAATAATTATACTCGTCTCCATTCACATCGGCTAATATTGTACAGTAAACACGCACAAAGTGCGTATAAAACTCGCCAACGACAGGAAAAATATGAAAAAAATAACGATGATCGATATATACATATATATAATATATATATATCATTAAAATATTGTTACCATGCAATAATATATATAATTTTATAAATTATAACTATATCATATATATTTATAATATCAATGCACATATAGTGTATAATGATATATAGTATACAAACACACTTTAAGTAAAATTATGTATACATATATGCACTGAGCAAACCGTCATCATCATTTTCATAATCATATATAAAATAAATTTATATAATCCTATCTACAGGCAAAATAAAATAAAAATGCTTGACGGTAGGTATATTAATAATGGGTATGATAAGTAGGTACGAATACTACGACGTTTGAAAAAACCTCGTCAACTGAAATTTCTTATTTAAATTATGAATTCCGTAGTTGTGTACGATGAGGTGGTATTCCCTGCATAGTTGTGATATTGTTATCGTGGCGAGTAACGCAGTTTAATCTATTATATTATATTATATTATTTATTTTTATAATATTGTAATTTTGAATGGTATTTTTGTTTTAGAATTTTAGTTTGCTAATGGGTTCGCGGCTGGAAGGATCGCAGCATACGTACATTGCAATCTAGATGAGGACGAAGGATTTGAGTAGCTTTCCATTTGTTGTTGTAGTCCAGTGCTGCTGCCACTACCACCACCACCACTGCCAGCGCCACTGCCGCCCATTCGTCGTCTTTGTGCTTGCTCTGCGGTATCTGACGAGTCCAGCGAAAAGCTCTTCATGCGTGAATTGAGTTTTGGTCGACGAGGGCTGTGTGGAGCTGTAAATGTCCACACACGGGTGGAGCACCCACGGTCAGAGAAAGCGGGTCTTGGGACGGGGACGAGTGGTTCAGTAGGTGAACGGCGGGGTGAGAGAATCACACTTATATTGCACACCTCCCACTTGATCGACCACACGCGTTTAGGATTTTGTTTCCGGAGCAGAACGATTTTTTTTCTAAAAACGTTGAAGTATATTGCGTGTATACTGTACATCGAGTATGGAACCAAAAATAAACATAATATTTTATTATAGTAATAACTCATGACTAATGAACATATTTTAATAATGTCCAAAGAATATTTAGTATAAATATTTGTCGTTACATTAGTTCTCCTTTCACTTGTATACTTAAAGTTAGAGGTTTACACTCTTGAACAGATAAGTATGACTCTGAAGAGTTGGTCCGATAATCGAAATCGACAGGTTAATGTTCTGCTTCGGAATGAGGAATAAAAAATAAGGGTTGTCAAAACAAGCGTATCATTAAAAAGATAAAACTAGTATTACGTTAGTCTAACGTATTTTTTAAGGCACAATATTGACTTTCGTGCTCAATAAGTCAATTGATTTTTTCACCTTGCCGTCCACTCACACACAAACTATTCAATAAAAAAAAATAAAATAAAGTGCGTCTAGACTACTAAGATAAAAACATGCGAAAAAATGTAATTCTAAGTTAGAAAAAATGAAAAATTGATCAAAGACTACGTAACATGCATACATTATTGTTGTCATCTGACCAACACACAGTCAGTCATTTATGTATATGATACCTTAATACCATGATATGATTAATACGGAGAAAAAAAACATTAAGCCTATTGTTAATTAACAAATAAAAGAAAAAGAAAACGTTATTATATTATATTATCATATATATGTACATAATGATTTCAGGTTTTCCATATGAGTTATGAGAATGATAGCACTAATATTAGTGATTATGTTTGTGAATGTAATCTAAAACGTGTCGAGTGTTTTGCCAATCCATAGATACTTATGATTACATCAATAATTATTGTAGTGATTAGTTATTACTTATTAGTCAATATATTTTTACTTTTTAAGAAAAATGCATCCTTCTAGGAGACTATTCAATCTTTAAAACACCTATTTAGGACATTTAGATACGGAAAAATGTTTAAAACCGTATGTGATTTACTGAAATAATAGTTATGATAGATAACAATTTCATAGCGTAGTTATTATTGTAGTATATTAAAAACTAAATTAAATAGCTTTTAAAAATCCCTAGAAAATTCCATAGTCTTAAAATTTAAAACATGTTTTCGAATACACTTAAATTATCAAAATTTGTACGGGAAACTGTGAAACATCATGTAAGTGTATTTTTAAATACCAGTTAAGATCGCGGTTCAGATGTAAAAATGGTAATAATATTAACACCGTAATATATAGTTAAATATTAATAATAATGATAATTAAATCCCATGTAACAGACTATAAATTGTAAATTGTCGATGAAAATTAGCCATCAATATTTTAATCAGCTGTATCTGTGTGAGACGAGTTTTCTTTGTTAACCATTAGTAGATATATACATATACATAATTAAATATTTAATCGTTTTATTGAACATTTTTATTGTTGAATTCGAGCACGCTTGATAAAGATTAGCCAATCGTAAAATGATTAGCTGATATACGTTTCCGGTTATTAAAACGTGACTCGACGATATAAATGTACATCTTGTAGGTCAATGGTAGATAAGGATTGGTGGGAAGAAAATTTTTTGACAGGGAATCTTTTTATAATTTTATTTATTATAGTACAATAATTTATTCATAGTAGTTAATAAACTAAAAAAAATTAATATTCCTGTTAAAAAAAAATATTTGAAAAAATTATAAATTTGGGCTCATTATGTAAATAATTATAAATAAAAATATACATATTTTCCTAGTCAAAATTTTGATGAAGGACTATAGGTAAAATAGCCTACTAGAATTTTTATTTTATTAAATCAGCTAAACGATTTCCATGCCCATTGCACGGAATGAAATTACACGACCATCTTGACATAGTACCTACTACAAATAATTATAGTAAAATGAAACATAAATATAAAATATATTTTTTGTTTATTTTTGATTATAAAATAATACATATAATATAAATAATATACATAATATATACATAAATAAACTGCAATTTTTTAGTATCTTTCATCTTAACGAAGAACCTATATGCAGTTAATAGTTATTTTATGAATAAAAACAAATAATTAAAAGTAGAGAAGAATAGCTTTTGAAAGTAAAAATAAAGCTATAAAATAATGATAAAAATGAATTGTAGCTGAACTCTAAAAGTAGATTTTTTTTTTTTAATAAAAATTATAAAACTTTATAATATGTCGAATAATTTTATACTTGAGTTTATGATTATAATTTTTTTTTTTAGAATATTATATTGTATATATGCTGCAAGCATATAAATTATCTATTTGATTGGACGAAAAAATAACTATTATTTTAAATTGGTTATAATCAAAACCATCTATTACATTGCAAAAGATTTATATATACTTTTTGAAAATGTTCATAAATTTATGAATCTCATAAAGTTTATACTCTACGACACACACATGCATAGATAAGTTTTTTTAATACATCAGAAAGATAATTATATGTTTAATCTATAAGTTTATATTGACAATCGACAACCATTATGATTAAAAAAAAAAAGTGGTCCAAAAATTATATTGCATGTAAACAAATAGGTACCGCTATACTGTAAATTATGTGTCGAGTGGGTTACTATTATGGATGTGTTAAATCTGAAATAAATGATAAATCATTGTATACAAAATATTATTATGAGTGAAAATGGTCTGTCAAATAATATTACTAAGTATATTTCATGTTTTTTTTTTGACTAATAAGGTCCTAGCTAATAGGATTATTAAACTATATTGCAGTAGGTTGATACAATTTTTTCCAAAAATATTGCATTTATTTTATTTTATTGTTATTTTTTAATTATTAGAATAATATATTATATTTTTTTATTGTATTATACCAACTTATAGGTATAACTCAGTTTTAATAACAAATTTTGTTAAAATTTAAATTTTTTAATGGGTATAAAAAAATATTGTATCTATATATTTTTTATATTTTTATTCAGATAAAAAACAACATAAATGTAATCTTGTATTAAATTTTCCGACATTTATAAAAAAAAAAAAAAATGAAAATTGGACATTTTTATAAATTGCTCAAAATGAGTTAAATTTTTTTTAAATTTTATCATATAATTTAATAATTTGGTGAAAATTTCAAGTATCTACGGTCATTTATTTTTGAATTGAATTACAACAAAAAAATAAAATTCGTTTGGTAAGAAATAGTTAGGTACTATACGGATGAATATCTAATGTTATAAATATTCGAATTTAAAAAAAAACTAATTTGGGTTTCTTGTAGAATTTAATTTTCCAAATAAGTTAAAAAACTTATCAAGAGCCTTGTATTAAATTTTTAAATCCTAGGCATAAGAAAGAAACGTTTTATAAATATACAACTTCAAAATAACTTGTATTTTTTGATGATTTCACAAATTTTGTTTAAATTTGAAATTTGAATCATTATAAAAAAAATATTGTGACTATAGATTGTTGATATTTTTTAATTGGGAAATGAATCCCTTATTAGGGATCTTAAATTAAATTTTCAAGCATTTTTATTCATTCATTTATTTTTTTTATTAATATTACTAAAAAAAAAAAAATCAAAAGTTTGATTTTTTGCTTTTAATTTACTTCAAAGTCAAACAAGATAAAATTTTAGTTTAAAATCACCCTTATAATTGAAAACCGAAGCATTTTATTGACAACTTCTTATATACTCGTACACACACACAAAAAAAAACAAATTATTGTAAAATCATTACATTGATCGCTCCACTCAAAATCTAAAAAAAATATAGTTTTCGGGCCTTTATTTTTGTAAAATTGTTAAGATTGATAAGTGTCAAGATAAACTAAGTGTGTTATACAATATGTATATTATATATATTATACATATGATAGCCTCAGAAGGTAGACTTTTTAGATTCCGTACATTGATGACATACCTACGTATCGGGTGAAAGCTGATCAAGAACAATCACTATGATATATGCTGTATTAAACGAGCATTTTGACGGCGACAATATTTTAAATATATAAGTAAAATACACATACACGGTAAGTAAATAAATAGGTATGTAGTAGAAATGATATAATATATATGAGTTTTAATTTTTTACAAGCTCGTGTATGTGTTCGACGTTTTAATATGCGCATTCACTTTAGAAAGTCTCGATCGACGAAGCTCTTAATAATATATGTATTATGACAGAGTGCAATAACTTAGGTCGTTCAGTTATAGAAATGTTTGTGTTTATGAATTATGTATGAGTTGGATTTTTAAAATCCCTTTGGTAGTTTTGAAAACGTGCATGTGACATTTTGATGGGCTTTTTAATTATTCAAACTTCGACTGAACGTATAAATACGCATAATATGTATTATCAATCGGATGAGCTAGTTATTTGAATTTTATTTATAGGCTTCGGATGATTGTTTACAAAAATGAAAAGGACGTTTTTAAGCAATACAATATAATGATATTTTTCAATGATTTTTCTATTCACGAAAATGTCCTACAACAATACTTGTGTCGGTGCACATGAATAGTTCGTTCTAAATGGTGCAAACACCTGCATATATTCTACTACGACTATATATTATCATAATTGATCATCAGACTAAATGTTTTTGTGTGGTTGCTAAGTACAGACCGGTAGGGACTGATCGAGTCCAAAAATGCTTGTCTTGTCCCTGAGAATAGCAGGTGGTCTGGCCTTGTATATAGAAAAAAACAAAAACACGGTATAACAATGGTGATTTATAAAAAAATAAAGTTTAATTAACATAATAACAAGCGTAGTAAACAGAAAGTTGCAGTATAATTTCGACGAAAGTACATTTTTTTATCTTCAGGAGGAGGTGAGCGGGAGTCGGGACTTCATGCTCCTATTTTACTATTATAATATAATGTAAAATATTATTATACAGAAAACAATATCGATAAAAACTACCGTGCAACGAAATTTTTATGTATAAAATAACAATTATAAAGTAAATATTGGAATATATTTATCGTAGTATGTATTTTGTGACAATTTTAACGATCACAGCCATTATATCGTATATTACATACTACGTGTTAATAAATAATGTTATTAAAAGAGCAATATATATGTAGATACATAAAAGTTGACTAAAAGTATTGGAAGAAGTATAAATAGTGAAATATAATAATTTATAGAAGAATAAAAAGCTCATGTTTGTGGAATTAATGAGTGAGGGTGCAAAGTTTGTAAACATACACAATTATAATTTTTTTTGTTTTGTTTTTAATCAATATCGATTATTTTCAAACTGACGATACAGTTGATACGCACCTATAAGTGTTAGAGCTCAAAAATAATAAGTATATACCTACGTGAAATTTATGTTTGCAATAAAATTATGTCAATAACGGCAAAATGATTAGGAGGGAGTGGTAATAAAGAATAGTAGGGTCGAGATGTGTTTCTCAGAGGTTACCAACTATATAATGTAGTATAATATATAATATTAAATAGGTATCTATATTATTGTATTGTGAATCAGATATTATAGAAATATTTTCGTTTTGTCTTAAATTTAAAAAATCGTCATTAAATAAAACATTTTATAATGCGATGGAGTAATTTAAAAGGACATAGTTGACGGGTATTGGGTTTAAATTGATAAATGTTGGAGGAGGGTTTGTTAAGAGTCGATGATCGAAAATAGTTATTTTTTAAAAGTTAAATTCTTCTTGGCTGCCATAACAGCGCCAGCCATCAAGCTTCGTCTGTGTCCGGGTTGCAGCTGAAGGTCTATTGGCTGTTGCAGGTCTTCGTCTGGGGTTTGACTGGGTAACACTAGGGGTTGTCCAAACGGTCTCGTACCCGCCGCGTACTTAACCTGTTCTGTGTACGCGACAGGTAACGATAAGTAAAAAAAAAAAAAAAAAATATAAAAAAATAAAATATAAATAAGTAAAAATAAATAAAATAATCGATAAAAAAGAAAAGTAATTATAAATGATTTGAAGTGTGTACAAAAATATTATTATAAAATAATAAAAAAAATTGCGCTCAGAAGAAACAAAATTATATAAATTCGTACTTTCGGGTAACGATATCGATCGGCCTTGTGTTTGGGACCTGCCACCGAACATGGTAAAGCTCTTGACGCCGCCGAACAGTCTCCGCCTTCTGGGTGCTGCCGATTCCGGGAGTCTGCAGGAGGCCGAAGACGTGCCGACGACGTGTGATTCCGCTAGGATAGGACAATCACGATCGCGACATGAGAAATTCGCAATTTTTCCGAATGGTTTTTATTTTTATTTTTTAAACATATAGGTACACTATTATTGTGCTATCTGAGGTACTGAACCATTAAAAAGCCAAAATAAAATAAAACAATAACAATTTTAATAATAATACCTATTGGCTATGTATAGGTAGGTACTCCTCGAAGAAAAGGGTTGCATATACCTACACATGTTATCGTAGGTATATACATATTTATATGTATGTATGTATGTATATATATATGTACACATACATACATACATAATTATATATTATAAACTCCTGCAGATAATATATTTATATATATATTATATATATATATATATTTTACCGCATATAAATGTACTATATATGTATTCGAATTATAAAAGTATTAAAATAATTAAAGATCATAATATTAATATAATATAAAAAAAAAAAAGAGTTCAGCTTGCCCAAAGTCGAGAAGCGTTGTCATGCAAGGTTCACAATACATCAATATAATAATAATAAGCGCGACAGGTCGTCGCCGTCGCCGTATACAGTGAATGTAGTATTTACAGCAAAAATAGGCTAATATCATTATCTTAAACGTCGGCAATATTGATATAAATATCATATAACGTTAAGCGTTAAACAACATAACAATTTATTACATGTTAATGACATGTACATTGTACATATTATTGTATACTTCCGTGTAACGCGTTCAAACGGGAAGAATTGAACATTTTTAAATTTTTAGTCGTCAATCGATGTTGAAATTATTAATTTTGCAATTGCGAATATGATAATAGGTACATAATAATATTATTAATTATTATAATATTATATTGAGTGTTATAAGTGTAGGTGACGCGTTTTGGACAATTCGACGATTTAAACGTGCAATCGCAGAATCTTCAGTACGCGCCACCCAAGCGAATTAATACATTATAATATAAATACAAATGCCAGTAATCTACGGCAGTGATCTAGAAAGAGAGAAAACGATGCAAACATACAGACAGGCAGAGAGAGAGAGAGAGAGAGAGAGAGAGATAGTGATAGATTAAGACGATAAAAAACTATTACTAATAAATGCATGCAAAAATACGGGATCAAGTCCACTCGTAATAATAACGACTTGGTCTAAGTCGATTCGTTACGTGTGTGGACGCGTACACGTACATACACACACACACACACACACACACACACACACACACACACACACACACACACGCACACACATACACACACACGCGCGTACGCGCGCGCGGCCGTGCAGACCTGAGCTAGACGCGATTGGCGGCGACGTGACGTTCAGCGTGGTCCCCGGTCTACCTAAACTGTTCGGGTGCTGCGGGTGATGTTGCTGTTGCTGCTGTTGCTGAGATGGCGACGATCTGGGCAGTGGTTCGGTGGGCGGTCCACCGACGACGATTTGTTGCTGTTGTCGCGCACTGGAAGGGCCGCCTGGCCTAGGTGAAGTGCGGATCTCACCGGCTTGTTTCAACACTTGGTACACTTGGTCGACTGGTTGTCCTGCGCCATCCAGCTGCTGAAGGCTGCCGCCGACGGCACCACCACTTCCACTACCGACACCACTACCGCTACCACTGACGCCGCAGCCGCCACCACCGATACCTCCAACAACACCACCACCTCCTCCACCACCACCAGCACCACCAACGCCGGCACCGCCACTACCACCGCCGCCGTCCGCACCGGGAATTACTGCGCATACGGGTAGAGAAAAAGAACAAAAAAAAAAAACAAAAAAAAAAAAAAAAAACAATAGGCACACCACAAACGTCCACGAAACAACATAATATACACGCATATACATATATATGATATATGAATTCAAACAAAACTGAAATAATAAAAAAATAATAAAAATTTGCAAACATTTTTTTTGTGCAATTTTTCACACCACTCCGTGTATATTATATAGGTATACAATCGAAACACTCGTCAAAAGCAAATTCATAAATTATAAACGTCGAACATGATATTTTACATTATTATTATTATATATATATATATATATATATATATATATACATATATACGATGAGTTCAAATTTAAAATAAAATATCGTTCATTACAAATCTATGTTGTGTAGTAAGTCGTTTGACTCTGTGTTAAAATCACATTACATGATAGTAAACACGTGATATTATTATTACAAGGAACAGATATTTATATAATATCAATACTGTATTCAGTTGTTATTATAATATCGCAAAGATATTTTCGAGTTTTTTGAATTCATGATCTATGTACTTATAATGATCGGTGGATTACGATTGCACACGTTATACCTATCTTTTTGGCTATACGATTGCGCGCAATGCCAGAATAACAATGGACACAATTTTAACTATTTAAAGGCGTACGATTGCGCGTGAAATTGGGTGCGACATTGCCAAATTTTTTATTAAACAAAAATTAAGTTTTATCATAATTTTTTTCTAATATTTAAATACAGATACAAATATTTTAAAGCTCGATACCTATTCAAACTATGGCCAAATATTTAAGTACATTTTCTGGTGATTTAATTTTACATAATCTTTGTGTTGCTTACAGATAAATTACATTTTCTGTAATTCTTTTTACGATTTTGGTTTTCTTTGGAAATGATTGATAATTTGATTAATGTTTTTTCCTGAGTTTATAATAGTGTAGTTATAAAAACAAATATAGGTGGATGAGCGATATTAAATTGTGCGTTACATGTACTATGGAAACTTTCAACCCGGTCTGTAGTTCTAAAAATAAATAACATATTATAGTAAACAAAATTTATTTTTTAAAACTCTTATTAGCATGGTCATAGTATAGATATTTATACGTGTATGGGAATTTATAATAAAGACAATAATTCTAATCTATTATAAAAGTATGATTTAAAACTTAGTATGATATAACTTAGTGATGTGAAGTTTGTCTGGTATCAAAAATAATAAGTAATAAATAATCTACTATAGTATTGCACTATTAACCTATATATTTGGCAACGTTGCTTAAAAGTAAAAATAATATAGCGCGCGTAATTATACGCCTAAAAAAGTACCGCCGATAAGGACCGCGCGCAATGGTATTGCGCCCAAAATAATATTATGATCGTTTTCTACAAAGAAATCCTGTTGTTTAATGCAGGTAAGAGGTAAGTGAAAACTTTATGAATAATAGATAAATAATATTTTAAAGTTATTATATATAATATATTCAGTAAAAAAAAAACATTAAATACCCAAAGCATATTATTCTTATTTGTAATATTATTAAAAAAATATCTCATAAAATTATAGTATAAGACATAAAAAACTAATTACTCGCTTAATAAATATATTTTAAATTTATAATTTATTTGTATTTATCTGTAAATAAAAATAAAGTATTGGCTATATTTTGTTTGTAGAAACCATTAAATACATGGATATTTTGATAGAATTATATGCACGTTTGTGGAATAAAATTATTTATTGATAGTTATAATTAGAAAAAAAATATTGAATGTATTATTAGATGGACAATTACTAGACAATTATACGGCTCTACTAACACATAAATTATATGTATTTTAAATTAAAACTATATATTATTTTTACGATGATTTTATCATATTTACATTTATAGATACAATTTAATAATAACATGATAACATTTAAATTTACCTATGGTTTGGTAAGAATTATTTCTAAATAGGTAAGTAAATTAAATGTTTTATACAAATTTAAGTTTGTTACTATATATATATATATATATATTTTGTAAATGTTAAATTGAAAAATTTAAATACAAAATATTGAGCGAATTCAACTTTTATTTTTATGGTATCACTAACACAGGCGGGTTTAGTTAAAAAAAATATATATCTGATTAAATATTGTTTTTTCAAAACTAATAAATTATTAAAATAATTTTTAATTTAACTACATGCCTATCATATCAATAAATTTTTAATGATGCTGAATCAAACGTTAAATTTATAATTTTATGTTTTAATCATCGTTGTACAAAAAGAAAATAATTAATACGGAAAAATATAAAAATAAATATACTTGTATAAATATTTTTATTTTTTTATTAGTTAAAAGAAATATACAACTACACACAATTTTGTTCAATTATTAATGATGTAAGTGGTATAGGTACATATCGTGAATGAGGCGCGATATAGGAGGGCTCCCAATGAAGCTACCTACTTAAGGGAATTGTATAAATATTTAAAAATAATGTTTATTATGATGTGTCTGTTATAAAATTTATAATCGGCTTTTAATAATTATAAACTATTTGCGATTAATTATCATAGTTGTGTTATTTTAAATTTTATGATTAGAATATTTAATCATTTTAACTTAAAATTATATTATTTTAGAGAGCACGAAATATATATTTTAAGATTATAAGATACAAATACGGAATTTATACAAAATCAATATTCTTGTGAGCGTTATTAGAGTCTTCCTCGACTCATATGTAATCTAAATTGTAAAAATTATTAAAATGGTGTCAAAATATATAGTTTTTTAAATCATTGTAATTGTAAACAATTATTACGAAACATATTAATATGTATTTTACTTATTGGTTCGCTTTATTATATTTTGTTGAAGATTTCCACAAACATTATTGTTTTTTATCATCAAGAGATTTGAGAATTTTTGGTATATTGAAAAATATTACAAAACATAATAACTGTAATATAAATTTATGATGATGAATATGATCTATTTATAATTTGATTATATTTAAAAAAATATTAATATTCACTGTCTAGTGATCGGAAAGTGTAACTTGTAAGTTGTTTTAAAAAAATTTATAGCTATCTGTTTTTGTAAAACATATTTTATACGTTATTTTTAAATTTAAAATAGAATAGTTTTATGTATCTATCATTGTACATCAAGTATATTGAAATTATACTAATTTTTATAGATTTTATGGAAAATTTATTTACATAATTTATCGATATTATTTAATAGTGTGATATTTTACCGAAATTGGTTTTAAATCTATTTTTCTGTTTTTAAATCCTTTTCAATATTCAAAATTTGGTTAGAGAAAATAAAAATTAATTCGTTGTCACAAAAACGTATATGCTTACAAACGGGTATTATATCTTCAATGTAACGCATATTCATCCATAATAATATTTTATTCTTATTTTCACGAAGATTGACGGAAAAATCTCATTTTCTAGGAATTTGAATATTCATGAAAGTTAGAAATTTCAATAAACATCTTAGGTTTGCAAATTATAATATGTTTGTATTTATTCAGCTACAAACAGAAGAAAGTAAAATTAATGGAATAGTGAAAAGCATGTAATAATACAAATTATATACAACTTCATTATGTATAATTAAACGTCGTCATTAGGTGTACGCGTACATTAATTATTTTCTTTATTCTTGATTTATCAGGTTTCTAACATGGTGTATATTTTCTTCAATAAATAATTGAATTATGAATAAATCGTTTTCGAATCGCATGAATTATGTTGGTTAATCAAAATTAGTTGTATAATATAGTAAGCTTAAATGTGTCGTTAAGATAAGTTAAACAATCTATACCATAATTGTGATTCATTGAATTTTGAAAACTCATTAAAATATATTTCTTATGTTAAAATTTATAACACGTCGTATTCGTGTAAACTCGTTATTATTTAATGGTTTTTGATTTTTTTAGTTACATTTTCATTATTATAGTACACAAAAAATAGTTAATAACATTTTAAAATAATTGTATTATCTTATAGCTATAATTAAAATATATTATATGACAGTAATAATGTAGGTAATAGACATGTTTAGTTAGGTACAAAATATAATGAATTATATTATTATTTGTTTTACAAACGATATATTTAAGTGAATTTAATTATTATAGCCGCTCAAAATAAAACACAGGAGACATGGTAAAAGCCTGTATGGCCCTTGCATATTAATATTTTTATTATTAATTAATGTTAACATTACCCGACAAATTTCAAGTCCCAGCTATAGTTGCCATACTATGACAACTGTCCTAAAAAATCCAAAACGGTCCTTATTAGGACCAGCTTTTAAACGACTTCAATAAATATCAAAAGATACTTAAATTTTAGAAGCAATACTCTACAAGATATATTGAAAAAAACGCATATAAAATTAAATGCGTCTAAGAGATTCACCGAAATGTCCGAGACAAAAACAACATCTGTCAGGAAATAAGGGTAATGAAGTTGGCAATAGAAATATCACATTAAAAATACGGGAGTACGATATTTATAAAAGATAATTTAATCATTCAACAAATTACACAGAAACTAACGGCATAAAAATCCTCATATTATAATTTAAAAATTGTATGGTCACATTATATACAAACCGTTTAATGTCATATTTAAATTTATAAAACCAAAAAATTTCAAAAATCAATGAAGTAAATTCGTAATCAGAGGTCACAATTTTATAGGACTATAAAGAAATGAATGAAGGCGGAAAAGAAGCGAATGACCTTACATTAGAACACGAATAAAACTACCATTGTCATTGAACAGTGACATATGGATAAAAGGGTAACCAGGCATAATTTTTGTGATTTTATTAAACAGCTATTAAACAACAGAGAAATCAAAGTCCAAGTACCAATACCAAATTCTTAATATAGGACAATAACATATCAGATAAACGCCATCATACGCTCAGAAAACGCAACGATTATAATACGCTAA